ATGCATGAAGATGTTTGTCAACAATGACTGTGCAACAAATGTAAACAAAGGATGTTACGTGACTTATTTTTTTATCACGAACGACTCGGTCATGTTCAGCCTTCTGACTCTTCCTCAGATTGGCATCGACCCACCCAGAGGCGTCCTTATGTACGGACCTCCAGGCTGCGGTAAGACCATGTTGGCCAAAGCCGTGGCTCACCACACTACAGGTACGTGCAGCAGGACGTGATGTACACCTGTAATACATTTAACTTTAAAAGGCTTTAATGTGATTTTTATAATAAGTTGTGTTTCACCGATTTTCTCTCTGCCCGCAGCGGCGTTCATCCGCGTGGTCGGCTCCGAGTTCGTTCAGAAGTATTTGGGGGAAGGTCCTCGTATGGTGAGGGACGTGTTCCGGCTGGCGAAAGAAAACGCCCCCGCCATCATCTTCATCGACGAGATCGACGCCATCGCAACAAAGCGTTTCGATGCACAGACCGGAGGTACGAAACAGCCCGACTTTTACACATGTTTTTTTTTTAGCCCTTGTCCTGCACGCGACTGTCTGCGTGACGAACTCGACCGTCTAACCTCTTTGTTTGCTCTGCAGCTGACAGGGAAGTGCAGAGAATCTTACTCGAGCTGCTCAATCAGATGGACGGATTCGACCAGAATGTCAACGTCAAGGTGAGCCGAGCCTCTTAACTGTTTCCCCCTGTGGCTGCACCACCTCTCTGCGTGCCGACTCGAGCTGCATCTCACTGCATCGTTATCACTGCGTCTGCTGTAATCCAGCTTAGAGAGCATCCCCGAGGCTCACGGCGTCATTCATCAGGACCTTAAATGGACATTTTGCCCTTGAGCTGTTTACACATGGAGTGCAGCTAAGACTTGTACAAAGAACTCCTTCCTGTTCTGATGAATGCTGTAACCCAGAAAGCTTTTTGGGGCAGATTTGTTTTTCTCTGCCAAAATAGTTCTTACAGTGAGAAAAGTGCCAGAACCTTTTAAGGTCCGTAAATCCAAAGCTTGCAGAAACTTGATGGTTACAATGTTACAAATGCACACGCTCAGAAATAATCAGGAACACTGTATCGTATTTACTCTCATTTTTATCATTAACGTTTTTATTTGTGCTTATTTACGCTCATATGAGCATATTTCATAATATGTAACAGATTCATGTAGCGTAGGTAAATCCTGTCTACTCTTTGTGGTCTGAAGCTTGCTTCGAAGGTGATTGCTGTTCAATTGCAGGCAGACAATTCCAGGCTCTGGTTGCCTAGGTAACCCACTAATATATTTACTGTCAATCGGCCTTTGCCTGTGCTCTCACTGGCAGTCACTTGAGGCGATCGCCTGAAAGCTGAGAAAAGTTTCTCGGGTTATTTTCTGTTTTTTATAATCGCTCGATGTGGGGAAATCTCACTGAGATCACGTGGTCTTCAGTCGCCACGTTGCTTCCAGTTTGGACGCAGCTCAAGTCGAGAGTAGTCCTCCAAAGAAATGATTATCCACTCTTCCAAATCATTTCTTCGCCATATTTCCAAAGTGAGTTTAAGGCCTTTAATGAGGATCAATCTGCCTGTCGTGACTGTGGTTTGGACCACATTCTCAGTATGTTTATCTTCTTCTAACTCTGGATGTTTTCCCAGAATAAATATTCTGAGACTGAATTCCTAACATATCACAGATGTTCTTGTCCAAAGTCTCTGAACTTTACGTGACGTACAGCCTGGAGTAA